AATTAGCAAACTATTCAATTTGAGTTTTGTTGCGGTTTTCTATTTTTGGATTTTGATTTTGATACTTCGATACACACAATCGACAAGCGGTTCGTGCGCAGAGTATAGCAGGTCTTTTGCACTTAACTATTTATGTACATAAAAGATTTATATTTTTTTTTTGTTTTTTTTTTGGTTCTTGGCTGTCGTGTGCATGTTGCATGCTACGCCAATTGCGGCAAACAACATTGAACTTCTTGTCAAAGTTAGTAAGCAATAAATTTGCCATAGACAAAGATCATATATCTATGCATGTTAGGGTGGTCCTTAAAATATCTACATACATACCTACAAAATAAAAACATCGCGAAAATTTAAAAAATTTAAACAAATTTTTTTGGGTCGCCACCAGGGTTTGCAAAATTATTATATTTTTATCGCAAAAATTCGACAAAACTTTTGATTTGACCAGCTATAACTCAGTGTGTTTAGAAATTTTTATCAGAATAAATTTAAATAATCTAAAAAATTTTCAGATTTCAAGCAAAAATTTTGTTAAATTTTTTTGAAATATTCGTGGATGTCTTTATTTTGTACGTAGAACTAAATGAAGGGTTATCCCATACAAAATTTGAATGTTGATATTTTTAAGGACCACCCTAATGTTTGTCTGTACATATACACGTGCATTTGCATGGAATATAACGGGTGATTTTTTTGAGGTTAGGATTTTCATGCATTAGTATTTGACAGATCACGTGGGATTTCAGACATGGTGTCAAAGAGAAAGATGCTCAGTATGCTTTGACATTTCATCATGAATAGACTTACTAACGAGCAACGCTTGCAAATCATTGAATTTTATTACCAAAATCAGTGTTCGGTTCGAAATGTGTTTCGCAAACCCAATTGCTGCGAACGGCGACGAATCGACATTTCACGGTCTTCAGCAACACTCTCAGAAACAGACGCAATATTCTCTTCTGTACGCACTGTACGCATTCGTGTGGTTGGTTTAATGTCCAATAAAGTAAACTGAGTGCGAAACTTGGTCACAATCGCATTAATTGTTTGCTCACTTGGTCGATTATGTAGACCATAAATCGGACGTAAAGCGAACCGAACACTGATTTTGGTAATAAAATTCAATGATTTGCAAGCGTTGCTCGTTAGTAAGTCTATTCATGATGAAATGTCAAAGCATACTGAGCATCTTTCTCTTTGACACCATGTCTGAAATCCCACGTGATCTGTCAAATACTAATGCATGAAAATCCTAACCTCAAAAAAATCACCCGTTATGTATACTATGTATGCTTGTAAACACTTACACAGTTATACATACATATATATATATACATACAGATGCTCTCAACTTTTCATTGCAGTCGAATAAATTGCAGCTCTACTTGGTGTTTGCGTGGGCGTTCACGTTCTATGCTCCATTAAGCAGCAGCGCACAGTGGTTAATACATGGAATTTAATGTTCATAATTCACAGAAGCATTAATTTCTCAACCAATTTGATTAATCTTTTTTTTCATGAAAGCTTATACAATTTGCAATAGACCGGTTGAGCCCGATTTGTGATTTTTGTTTTGTTTATATTAAATTTTTTAGTGCAAAGTGCAGAAAAAGTGTCAGTTTTGAAGAAGATCGATTCTCCTGTTCCAGTTAATAAATGTTACATAAAACGAAAAAAGATTTCACAAGAAAAATTTTTAATGTTTGAAACAAAATTTTCACCAAAAAAAAAGAGTTTTTAGAAAAATATATATATATGCAGTTTATAGACTATTAAATTTTAGTATAATAAAGTGGAAGTTTCAAGTCGCTAAGAGTTCGCGTTGATTTTTAATATTTTTTTTTCGCAAACTCAAAGTGTTGTTACGTGATTTTTTTTTATTTTGGTGAACATTTTTTTTAAAACATTAAAATTTTTCATGTTAAATTTTTTTTCGTTTTGGAGAAACCCTACAGTTGTTTTAAACTAGTTTTTACTACGTAACACTTATTACCTAGAACAGTATAATCGATCCTCTTCAAAATTTACACTTTTTCTGCACTTTGCACTAAAAAATTTAATACAAACAAATAAAAAATCAAAAATCTGGCTCAACTAGTCTCTTGCAAATTTAAGCTTTCATTAAAAAATAATAATCAAATTGGTTGAGAAATGAAGGCTCCAGTAAATTATAAACATTAAGTACCACTTATTAACCACTGTGCAGCGTCACCTAAAACTTTTTAACTTATTTTTCGTTTATTTGTTTTTATCGCATTTTTACAATTGTTCTTTTGATTTTTTGGCTATTATGGTTTTATTCAAGGTCATTTGTACATGTTTAAAACATACATGGCATATGTATTCCAACTAACGAACATGAACATGACATGCAATGCCAACTTGACTACCCAATGCGCCGGCAAAAATACAATCGGTTTAAGGCATTTATTATGCTTCAGCATACATACATAAATATTTAATTGAATATCTATAGTGCATACTCACGTGCGTATTTATGTACCTATCTATGTATTCGCTTAGCTCGTGTGTGCGGGGGCGCATGCGCAACATTTATGTTCACAGATTTTGCGGCAATGATTGAACTTTTGTTAACCTTTCAATTGATATGGATTTGATAGCTAAAGGCAGCTAGTGTTCAGCGAAAGTTCAGTAAAATCAAATGTAATTGCTTTGATGACGAAAACGTTATACTTAATTAGAATTAGAAACATAGAGTAATTTCGGTTTTCTATGTTTGTAGCCCATTTATGACGAAAGATTCACCGCCGATTTCTCAGTTGATACATAACTTTAAGTTAACAAATAGTTAGTAAATCAATAGTTAACTGCCCAATGTTGGCGAATTAACTATGAGTTAATCATCAATTAAGTATACTGAGAAACTGACAACAAGAGATAATTAAACATCCACTGAGAAATCACACCACAGTTATTTCCCTGGTAAATTATTTCACTAAGTCTAATTGAGTATATTATCGAAAATGTTTGAAATCGCAGAAAACACCCTTGTTGATGATGTAATTTACAGAGAAAGGTGAAAACTCCATATTTACTCGTAAATCCGATTTTTAAATTTTATGCAAATTACAAAAATTAATCCACAACAAAAGGGGAGCGTAATCCTAATGAGAACAGTGAGTGACGTAATATTTTTTTTTTAGAAAATTTCGGATTAGCAGTTCTTTTGCCCATTCAGTTTTAGTACAATAAAGTAAAAGTTTCAAGTGGCTACAAAATACCGTTGATTTTTGAAAATTTTTATTAATATAAAAAATTTTCTTCCATACATAGTAAGCTCGACAAAATTTGTATATCGAGGGCTTATATTCAATATGACCTATCTGTAGTTTTTACAAAAATGAGATTCCTTTATAAAAATCCACCTTATACTATGTTCACGTTGAGCCATATACTCGAGTTTATGGGCCATTTTGGAGTTTAACGCTAAACTCTGCTCTTAAACTCGGAGTTTACCATACAAACAATTTTTGTTAAAATCGCCTTAAACGCCACTTTTATTTGGTGTTTATGGGAATGCAACCCTTTTTCTTGACTTAATTTGGTCGCACAGTACAAAAAAAATTGGCCGCAGTGTAAAGTTTTAAATTGAGACTTATATTGCTTTGCTATATAACAAACTATATTTTTATAAAAAATCAATGAATATTAAATAAACAAAAGGAAAACTGGGGATTAAAAGGGTGCGCTATTGAAATGTCGAGGAGTGCATCTTCTGGGCTCCACCTGTGCTCGCATTGCCTAGAGGGGAGGAAAACGAATAAAACCAGCTTTTGGATGCAGGTTCAAGGTTCTCACCTGAAGTAGCTATCGGCTATTGTCCACGCCTTACCAAATTATGGGTAAGCCATCTACGTTCAGCTTGTTCGTAATTACTTCAGTGACTCCGTTCGCTATACATATGCTTCCGAGTTAATTTCAACCCTATACAATTTGAATTCAAAGTGGCTTTGCATAACCTGCCTGATTGGCTTTCAAAGAATGAAATCATTAAATGCTTCTCGAGCGTTAACTGAGTTTTGATTGACTATAGTAAATCTTATGATTACGAGGGTCACTAAAAATTTTTAAAATAAGAAAAAAAACAAAGTTTGTCGGTAAAATCGTTTTATTGGTTATCAAAATATTCTACAACCTATTTTACTCATTTACATACACTCCGGCAAAAAGTATTGGCACAGCTGCTTTTTTTTTACTATATATGCAACAATTTTTATTCTAATAATTTTCCGCCAATTTTTTATAAAAATATGTTTCATTCTACAGCAAAAAACATAAAAATATAATTTGTAAACTTTGTGCAGAACTCGCGAAAATTCAGCAAATTTTCATGCCAATTTTCAACTTTTCAATCAGACATTTTAGAATTTTCTTGAGTATGCAGTTTTGTAGCCCATTAAATTCTAGTATAAAAAGTGCAAGTTCGGAGTTAGTCAAAAATCGCATTGATTTTTGAGAATTATTTTTTTTTGTTGAAGGTGTTTTGCATTTTTTCCATATAAAGTATTTTCAAAAAAAAAATTTGTGTATGGAAGAGTCTGCGTTAAATAAATATGCAAAAATTAACGGTAATTCGTAGCTACTTACGACTTCTACTTTATTGAAAATCTGCATACTGCAGAAATTCAAAAAATCTGATCAAAAAGTGGAAAATTTGCATGAAAATTTGCTGAATTTTCGCGAGTTTTGCACAAAGTTAAGTAACTATATTTTTATGTTTTTTGTTGTAGAATGAAACATAATTTTATAAAAAAAATTTGGGGAAAAATATTAGATTGGAAATTGGTGCATAAATTGTGCAAAATTTGCTCTGCCAATACTTTTTTCCGGCAGTGTATGTACATTAGTGCAGTCGGAACCTCAAAAACATAATTTTTGAAAACAGCTTCTTCTGGCGATGAAAATCTTTGTTTGCGAAATTACTACAAACAAACACATGGATATATTTTATAATTGTTTTTTTTTTTCATTTACAGACCGCTTGTATTTTGTCACATTCAAGAAGAACATCAAACCAAAGAGCACACCCAACACACACTACTTCAGCATAGATGAAGAATATGTCTATGAAAATTTCTATAATGATTTTGGGCCGTTAAATATTTGCATGCTATATCGGTACTGCCAAAAATTAAATTCCAAATTAACAGCGAAATGTCACGCCAACAAGAAAATCATACATTACACGACACTAAATGCCGCGAAGCGACTGAATGCCGCTTACCTGATTGGTTCGTACTCGGTAAGTGCCAAAGAAATTATTTTCTTTTTTTTTTGCATTCTTTTGACATCTTCGCCTTTTACTTTCAGATCATCTACCTAAACAAATTGCCAATGGATGCCTATCGGCCGCTAGTCGCTGGCGATATACCCGCCTATACACGCTTTTGTGATGCGTCTTTTGGACCAAGCGGCTATAAGATTTCGCTAATTGATTGCCTAAATGCTATTTACAAGGCAATGAAAGCTGGTTTCTTCAGCTTCGACGATTTCGATGCCGAAGAATATGAATATTTCGAGCGTGTTGAGAATGGCGATTTCAATTGGATTGTGCCACAGAAGTTTATTGCATTCTGCGGACCACATCAGAAGTCGAAAACACTGCCGAATGGTTATCCATGTCATTCGCCTGAGCGATATTTTGAATACTTTCACGAGAATAATGTAACCACTGTGATACGTTTGAATGCGAAGGTGTACCACGCATCGAGTTTCGAGAATGCCGGTTTCGAACATAAGGATCTGTTCTTCATTGATGGTAGTACGCCAAGTGATTTGATATTGAAGAAATTCCTCTCGATATGCGAGAATACAAAGGGTGCTATTGCAGTGCATTGTAAAGGTGTGTTTGTTGCGCCAATGCACTCCTAATTTGATTTCTAATTGTATTTCTCAAAAAATTCTAATTTTCAGCTGGTCTTGGCCGCACTGGCAGCCTTATCGGTGCATATATCATGAAGCATTACAACTTTACAGCGCTGGAAGCTATCGCCTGGTTACGACTGTGTCGTCCAGGCTCAGTCATTGGTCACCAGCAGCAGTGGATGGAGGAGTAAATATAACAGAAATCATTTTATATATATTTAATTCATTAAACTTCGCGCTGCCTTTTCTCTTTCTCTCTTAAAGCAAACAAACTTGGCTCTGGGCCGAAGGTGACCGCGTGCGCAAACGCTCCGGCTCGCAGTGCCCCATCCACAAGTACGGCATTTACAGCATCACACTCAAACAAGTCATCTCAACCGGTGGTTCGCCGCTTACAATGACGCAACCCAAAGAGAATTGTGTGAAAGGTATCTCACAAAAGGTGGATACAATGCATCTGCATGACAACGAGGATATATCAACCAACGGCAATACGAAAACGGGTGTTACAACGCGCGCACGCTCACCAATCACTGCTACCAATACAAATACAAATACCAACACCATCACCGCGACAACGACCTGCAATCGCCGCTCGAAAGAAAAGGCCGATAGTCGCAATGCGAATGTGAGTAGCGCTAGCGATGAAGATGCCACCATTACCGAGGAGAATGGCGACGATGAAGACAACACTGATAACTCAAATGCCACGTATATAGCATCGACGAGGCGACGCAAGTCCCCAACGCTCGCTATAGCCGGCGCAAATACGCTATCGGATGGCGGTAAACCACCAACACCGCCAGTGCGGCGCACCCCACCCATAGCTGTAGGAGAGGCCAATACACGGCTGTCGCCAGTTAGCGGCACCGAGCCACTCTACGCCGAGAAAAAGCTTAAGAAACCTTGCATTGGCTTGGAAGCAGCACAGCGTCCGACTATAGCGTCGACTGTGAAAATGACGCAAGCAGCAATTGATAAGCAAAACTCGCAGACACAAGGTGATAAGCTGAATCAAATAAAAGCGTTGCGTCGCCAACATCAACAACAAACGCACCATCAGCCCGCAGCGGCACAACAGGCATCGACGGTGTTACAGCAGCAGCAGCAGCAACAACAATTGTCAACGCAGCATAATTCACGTGGCAACAGCACAAATGCTAATACATAGTAAGTGAAATTTTGATGACGTTTTTTTAATATTGAGGTTGTTAAAACAAAAAGCTCAGTTTGTATATGTAGGTATGGTAAAGGCGTTCCTCAAACTGAGGCACGCGATGCCTGCAAATATGGTTCACGATAGCCTGTTAGCCTGTTCTTCCAAAATTCATATTGCAAAGTTGATTTCGAGAAAGCGGATATGGACTATGGTAACCCCGTGGATATTCGGAAAGTTCAATAGGACAATTGAATCGGTGAATTAGACAACCGTACAAGTCCAAATCAATAAATAGGGTCTAGGACCAGTACAAGGCAATTTTAAAGAAATATACAAAGCACATTCGGGACGCCATGGAAGTCTCATATCATCATTGAGGATACCAAATAGTCAGCCAGGTTGAGCAGAATCCTCGGCCAAGAACAGTTTCAGCCAACATTATGTGTATATTAAAGGTTAGATAGTTCATCAACCGGAGGTTGTTGGACGTTCTTCTGAAACCACACTTCACCGCAGTGGTGTTTTTTTGTAGGAGCTTCTGGCGATAGAATATATAAAACGTTTCCTCTTTTGAAACACCAATATCCATTCTAATCATGCTTCGGTGGTGGTTATTCCAATTCTGAAAGCAATTTTTACTAAATATGTATGTATCTATCTGCATATCAGTGGCAGGGCATCCAATATATGTTGTTGTTGTTGGTGTAACAGCATAAAAATACCCCAAATAGTTTTGCTAAAGGTGATCTTTAAATTTACTCTTCTAGAAGGGCTCAACCTACATATTACATATCTTGATTATCTTGTCATCTTATTTTTATTTATCTCTTTTTCTCACCCCTCTCTCTCTCTCTTTATCTCTCTTACAGTCCATTGGATATCGAGCGTCACATGCGCGCCCGTTCGCAACCTTTCCGCAACAACATCGCCAACATAATGCCAAGTACAACGCTAGGTCCTACAGGCACAACAGCACTGGCCACACCAGCATTGCGACACAACGACCAGCATTGCCAAGAAATGGCCGCAGCGACAGCAGCAGCAGCATCGGCAGCAGCTACAGCGGTGGCAGCAGCTCATGAAGCAATGCTTGCTGCAACAGCGGCGCTCAACAATAAAAATCTTTATAATTGTAATAATCGTTTTGTTTATAATACACGTTATCATACCACCACCACCACCACCAACAGCAATAACAACAACAACATTTTCATTAATCCTAATAATAACACACGCACTAATAGTAACCTCATTAACCTTCTAACAATAGCAACTCATACGACAACAACAACATCAGCAGCAGCGGCTGGCACAGTGGCTGGAACTAGTATGCCGACGGTGTCACGTGGAGATGGTGGTACCACACCGTCGTCGGCGGCGGCGGCGGCGGCGGTGGCTACAACAGCAACAACGCTACCCGGAGGCGGTGGCAGTGTGACGACGCGTGCACGCAGTTTAGCCATCTATAGCAAAAGGTAAGTGCAAGCAAGTGATGAGTTGTTAGTGAACATAACTAAAAATACACACAAGTACATACTTTTATGTACAACAGCAAGAAGCACAATAGCAAAAAAAAGAAACAATAATCAGTTAGAGAAAACTAAAATAACTAAACCAAAAAACAACAAAAAAAAAATAATTGTAAATATTTTATCCGAATAGCATTGCAGGATACAAAAAAGTGCTGTTGTACCTATATTTTACTACATTCCAGTGCACATCGCTCTGCTTTCATAGCAATTGCCATATCCAAAGCGCTAAATTTCCAATTATCCTACGCTTGCGCACATTTGCCCACCTTGTTGTTGTATGTATCGCTCATTCGACACTGTTTTGCTACTAAATAATAGTTTTTTTTTTTTTACTAATATTTGCCGAAAAAATAATATTTTAATAAAAAATTATAACCTTTAGTTTGTAGATTGTTGCTGTGCAAGTGTTTTTCAAAATTTGCTAATGGTCCACCAAAACATGTACGATTGATTTTCACTGGTTTTGGTTTTTGTTAAAACTATTTTCATACCTTGCATGCACTTGCGCAATTTGTGTTTTAAAATGCCTAACTTTTAAAACTGTTTAATTTTTGAATTTTTTTATAAATAAAGCTTATAAAGCTAAGGCAAAATTTTAAAATAGAATTTTAAAATTATGAGAAATCCTTTTTAAAAGGTCGCTCAATAAATTTTTAATACATCTGTATGTGGAAATAAATTATTTAGCTAAAATTTAAATAAGCTTAAATTTTACTGAGCTTTAAAAAAGATAACGGAAAAGTGCCTTACAAACATTTTTTTTTTTACGTTCTCATATACTATATATGTAATTTAATGTTTTGACACTTTGCTAAATGTTATTGTGTTTTCGTAGCGTAAGAGTGCAATCTTTTTTTCGACACCTTTATTTTTATCTGTACATTGTTTTGGAATTTATTTTAAAACATTAAAACACTAAATATGCTTAATATGTATCTAGCTCCAATTAAAAATTTCACTAAGTCTAAAAACACTTGGCGTTAGTCATTTCCCAGTACTAATGTATCTAATTTAAAAATAATTACTAAAAACCAAGTTAAAACATATCATATGACTAATTATATCTTAGAATAAGCTGAATGAAATTTAAGAGTATACAACACTGTATAATGTGGATACATACATATAAATTTTATAATATCTAAATGTACATAATACTTAGTTAATTTTAATTTTTTATAAGGATTCGAATTTTTAAAATCAACTTAGGCACGATTCGCTGTATAAAATTCATTTTGAAAACGCAAGCCTAAACGAAGTTCGAATTGGCAATTTACAAAATAATCTCTTCTCGAAAACAACAATAATTTAATTTAATATCGGTTAAGGTTTATTTACTTCATATTCTTCTTTTATGGCAATACTACAATCGCTCGTCGGTTTGGACCAAGTCCAAAAAAAACTTCGCGCCACTTATTCCAGCAAAGTGAAGACAGTGCTGAAGGGCACTCGGTACTCGGTACTTCGTTCCATCTTCTTCAGTGTCCATCATTCACGCGAACAGGGCCATAGATTTTACGTAGAGAAGTGTTCTCTCGAAAGCCCCCAAAGCCTTCTCATCTTTGTTCGGCATAGTCCACGTTTCTGCGTCATATAAAAGGACGGGAATGATTAGAGATTTGCATCGCGTAATTTTTGTTCGTCGAGGTATACGAAAATAATATGTATATACATATGTACATTAGGGTGCCTCACCAAGAGAACTCCAGGATTTTATAAAATTTGTTAAAAGACTTCGCCCGAAATATTTTCGAAACGTATTAAAATTTACTTGAGCTGAACCGATTCGAAAGACGTACATACTTAAATCGAGCTTTTATGAATGAAATTAGTTTTTGAGAATATTTCTTCCAAAAAATCATCTCAGATTATCTATCATAATAGTAATTTTTAGCAAAAAAAAAAAACCGACTTCAACTCCCATATAAAAAAAAAATATATATATATATCTCATGATCCACTGATCGGATCTCAACCAGATTAGTATGGGACCACCTCTGAGACACTACCTTTCCGATGCAAAAAGAATTATCGGTTGACGTGGTCCAAAGTTATGCGGTAACATACATAAAAAAAAAAAAAAAAAAATATTCCGACGAACTGATAACCTCTTCCTTTTGTGGAAGTCGGTTAAAAACGTTTGATCATTTTATCAAGGGAATCAAAATAATTAAATTTTTTGAGGTATTTTCAAAACGGCCCAGCTTGTGAAAATCTTAGTTTTTTTCGAAATATTTAGGCGAAAATAAATAATTTTATAAGTCCGATGGAAAACAGTACCGATTTTTATTTTTATTTTTATTTTTTTTTTTGGAGTGTGTTGCACCCTAATGTACATACATTCAACTAAAATAAATTTTCCACAGCGAATTCTGTCATTAAATCATCTATTAGATAAATTTTATACTTAAATCGGTTAGATCTAGCTACCCAAAAATCAAGCTCCAAAGGAGAAAAAAGTAAAGAATAAACGCCCAGCCAAAAATAAACAACAATAGTCACATAGAATATTATTAACTAGTATTTCCTTCCAATTTTCTACAATACATTATTGCATTTGCATTCTAATTATTTTAAGCTTTTTACGTTTTCAAACGGGCGGTTTAATTTTTAAGAAAAAAATACCAAATCGATCTAGCTTATCTTGGCGCCAAATTAATTAATCAAGCAAAAATTCTAATAACACAAGTATACTAACAGAAATCCATTTAAACGAATGCAAGCAAAGAACGTCGCTAACGGTAGCTGAGCATAGGAAAACGTATGAGTTTTTACGTATTTCTACGACATCTCAAACGTCATCTTTATTACGTAATTCGTTTTTGAATGCATACAATTATGACCGGTTTTTAATGTTATAGCGCTAAATTTCTTCAGGGTTGATCGTTTACTGAGAAACACATACGATTTTTGTATGAAAATTTTAAATTCACGACGCTTTGCATTTGGTTTTGATTTTCACTCAAGAAGCGACCAAATATGTTACATAAAAATTTCGAATTCTCAGCGTGAATCATGCAATGCAAATGAGTGTGAGAACGTGCCATTAGGTACGATTTTCAATACATGCACTTGTAAATGCTGAGCAGCTAAAAAACTACTTAAATATATTCATTAATAAGAGAAAAATTTTCAAATCTGATTTCTAATAACTTGAAATCATTCCAATAAAATAATTAAATATCGAAATTAATGGGAGTTTTCACAATGCCCAAATTGCGCTATTTTAGCCCCCCATTCCATATGAAATTAAAGCAAGTTTACACAACCATCTCGATTTCAATTTCAATTAAAGTTTTTTTTTTTGTTTGTTTGCCTTGGCTTTATTGGCATTTGTTTTTTCTTCGTTCTGCGCACTTATCATTCAAAATAAGTAACTTCCAGGGTTGTATTGGCAAAGACGAAATTGCCATCTCAATCGCAATTACAGCCGAAATTGAGAACATGTTGAAATTCCCCAATTTGGGCGTCGGGGAAACTCCCTATTATTACATTGTTTGATTTATTTGCATTGAAAACATTCGAAATTTAGCAAATATTATTAAAGCCAAGTCTATTAAGAAAAAAATATATTTGAAATCGTGTTTCGATATTAAAATTTTTTAGAAAATAATTTTATAAAGCATTTCAAATGCTTATATCGATGGCTGAGTGGAAGACCAACCTACCGGTGCGAAACCGCCCTATCTTAGCAAAATTTTCAAAAACACACTATTTCAGAATTTGCTTGAATTTAACTAATGTAAATTCAATATATCGGCAGCTAAGATAGGGCGCTTTTAAATTTTTTGTTCAAATAGATCTTTCTTCAACCAAATTCTGAAATAGGGTGTCTTGAGTCATTTTCCGAGACGGCGTTTTTGAACTGCCTGCCGAGACAAGTTGATCTTCCACTAAGCCGTCGATTTATTGCCTTATAAATTTGGGTTGTGAATTTTTATTCTAATATAATTTCTGTGGTTTCCATTTTTTAATACCGGATTTCTATTGGGCAGTAATTTACAAAAATTTCAATAACGTAAGTACGGCAATCCAAAATAACAGTGCTGTTGGCTTAATAAGAATAGCCATTAAGGGCAGGTTTCTCCGCTAGCTTTTAAAATTTATCTGATCTTTAAACACAAATTTTGTTCTGGCCTAAATTGATTTTCACAACGCATTTTGAATGGCGCAAATTTTTTGACATTTCAACGCCCAGTGGAAATTCGGTATAATAACTAGATATTAAATATCCATAAAATATATTAAATAAGTGCACATATTTTTTCAATAATTATACTCAAATTCATTTCTAAGCCTTATTTTTGCCATTTTTTTGTCTTGTAAAATATATTTCAGTTAAATAATATTTTAGAAAAAATTTTATGCTGCTAAAATTAATATGTAGACCAATAATTTTACCCTAGATATAAAGTGCATGGAATATTAATATAATTATAAATTAAAAAAAAAATATTATGTATACATATTTTAATAAACACAAAATCTGTTTAACCGCAACCAAATTATCAATTTGTTTTGTTTTTTTTTACGTTTTTCGGCAATGCATTTTTGGCAAATATTTTATTCGCAATTCATTTGAGTTTGTTTTAAATTATTATTGTCGTTAAAATTGTGTTGTAAATAAATATTTTGAACTTATTTGCTCTTTGAATTTGTCCATTTATTATTGTACTCGCATTAGGCTTGTTTTTCTCTGTGTATAAAGTGGCAACTTTTTGTGCTTTCGGTTTTTTTATTTTACTGCTTGCTATATTCTTGTGTTTTTTTTTTGGCATGTAGTTTATTTAGTTAACCGCTACTTCTCCCGTTCCGCTTCTGGTTCCCTTTGCTCCTGCAGTCACGCCCTTTTCCCAATGGCTTTGGTATTTCTGCAAAGCAATGCAATTCTTAATAAATTACTGTAATAAAAGTTGTCGATTATGTATAACAGTGTTGCATTTGTTGAAGCTCTTAGCGAGCTTTATGAACGAAGTATTAATACTTTGGGTATTATTTTTATCTACATATTTTAAAATAGTTTGTTCATAATTTTATTTGAAATATTTTGTGAGAGTTTAAATTACTGTCGCGTTGATTTGCTTATACAATTTGCAGTCTGTTATTTTTCTACTAAATAACATTAAATTTTTAATAAGGTCTGAATTTTAAAAATAAGATAGAAATTTCCACATTAAAATCCACAGGAAGAATATATTCGATTATTCGATTACTCGAGCAAGTTGGTTAATCAATTATTCGGTTAATCAATAACTCGAGTAATCTAGATTTTGATTACTCAAAACGATGATTAATCGAGTTACTTGAAATATGATTACTCAAAAAAATAATTTTGCTCGTTAAAAGAGTTTACTTTGGAAAATGCTTATTTTCTTTTTTACATTCTGTATATGAAACAATTTTTCGTTTTAATTTTTGAAAACAAAAACGTTGTTTTCAAAGTATCAAGGAACTTTAACTACTTTATACATATGTAAAGAGTTGAAATGTTGATTACTCATTTTACTCGAAATGTTGATTAATCATAAAGCAAATTACTCAAATATTTTTGTTTTTGGTTAATCAAAAATCTTGATTACTCGAGTAACTGAACTTTTGAGTAATCATAATTTCCAATTAATCGAATAATTGAGTTATTTACTTTATGATTAATTAAAAATTTGAGTAATCAATTAATCGCACAGCCCTAGTTTACAGTGAAGTGATAGACTCAATTTCAGGGTGCTTGTTGATGAGCATACATGGATGACCTACATACATGTGTATCTTTCCGAGTTTTTACTCTCATCATAAATTTCTCTAAGGCCTTTCACCAAAATTCGACACCATAGAACATGATAGTGTGAACTCCCACTTTGTTTAACAGTTCATTTCTACCAAGCCTACTAACTTCAATTTATGCCTATTGGAAAAAGGAGATTACCACACGAAGGGGGGTAATTGCTTATATTGAGTACAAGAAAACGAAAGTAAAAAACCAAAAAGTAAGAAATTAACCTTGCCAATCCCCGCATCTTTAAGTTCTTGGAGCTTACCTGCGCTCTTAACTGCAGTTGAGCTTTCGGTGGAAATGGGCTATAAGGTCTAATTTTTTATAAGCTCATAAGCTGATTGTTTATGAATAAATTCCACAAGAGTAGGGAGAGTACTCCGCATTGTGGGGTGCCGAAAATTCCTTAAAGATCTAAGTAAAATCCTTTTACAGTAAATACAGCATTAATGATGTATGTTGGTAGAGCGATCTACTTGTGAGCAATGTTAAATAAGGCAATAAGTTGTTACTCACTCACTTGAAGAATGCTTCGCAAAACGATGAGACAATAAAAAATTTCTAGAAAAAGATAGTGATTTCAAAACGTCCGGGATTTCCAATTTTTATACACGGGTATTTAGCTTAGTGGGCAATTTGTCTGTCAAAAAATCGCGTCATTTAAATGCGGCTGAAAATGGCAGTGATGCATGAGAATGGTTCGCGTTTTGCCTCGAACGGTTTCTCTAGTTTGAACAGAGCTTAACGTATTAGTTCAATGTGAACCCCAAAATTAGACATGGCGTTGCAAAGGCAGACTACCGTCGTATTTCCGTACACATTTGACGGGGTGTGAATTTAAGTAGAACTTTTTCCTCAAATTTGGTACAATTTGAAAATTTTCTTTTTTCCATCGCTGCCCCGTACTCCTTTTGTTGATAATTTTACACGTTTTGTTTTCAGTCTGTCTCACTCAAGCTGCCTTTACTTGGGTCGATTTCCGGCGACGAGGAAATCGACCAGCCAAAACACTTACATTTTACAGTTGAATCTCCATTTAAAATGGTAGATTTTGATTGTAAAACAAAAAACGACTCGTGTAAAATTATTTCCTCTCAAACTCATAGTTTCCTATGTAGGCAACAATATCATCAGCTGTTTGCTTTAAAACGAATTAAAATGTACCGAACTTAACAGTTGTACGCACACGAACGGTGTATTCGCCTTTAAACCTATTCATTAATCGAATGTAGTCCAATTAAAATTTTATGATAACATTTTAACAGGGACCAAGAGCAAAATGTGTGATCGAAACTAAACGTCGTTCTCGTAGTTTTGTTTCCAAGGATGCTTAAAACCCAAAACCGAAATGGGAACAAAACTTTTGGGAGTACTTTTACAAGAACGAAGGTGAAAAAAAAGCGTGGAAAACGTTCTTAATAGGAATTATATAAGAACGTTCCCAAAGAGAACAAAATGCGAACAATACTTTCGGGAACATTTCTAAGAGAAAAAATGGAAACAATAGTTTCCGCAACGTTTTGGCAAAGAACGAAACGGGAACAAAAGTCTAAGGAACTTTCTCCCGAAAAACAATTTGAGAACTAAAGTCTCGGGTGCTTTGTGACACAGAAAAAAACGGGAGCAAATCGTCTCTGAACTTTTCGCGAACTGACAGATAATTATGCAAATTAACTTAACGAAAGACTTAAGACACGAACTTTTCTCCATAAATGGACAGTTCACCCTGATAAACGATCTGCAAGTTGAAATTATACAGCTTTCCTCTGGCTTGGAAATAACCATCGTGGCTCTCACTTTTGTTCTCTATTTAATCCTCCTTGAAAACGTTCTGGATACTTTCGTTCTCAATTTGTTCTCATTGTAAACATTCCCGAAAGTTTCGTTCTCATTCCGTTCTTCTTGAGAACGTTCCCGAGAGTTTTGTTCGCATTTTGTTCTTTACGGAAACGTTTTCGAACCTATTGTTCTAAATTTATTCGCATTCAAACTGCTCTCATTACTTTTGGTCCCGCTGTTGAACGTTCTTGACATAACATTTTGTTCTCGTACACTTTGCCATAAAAGATACACAAACTTTTGGAAGAAATTAAAAATTCGAAAATTGTTTGTTTTACCAAAATACCGCTCTCTAACACCGTTAGGTGTCGGTTATAATAAAGAGCGTTAACTCAAAATCTTTTGTTTTTGGATCATGCGATTAATAAGCTTGATAAGGAGTATATCGAGCCCTAACCGCCAAATAACGTAAGCCACATTTTTTTCAAAATTTTATTTTTGATGCAGAAATATTCCTAGAGCATCTAGATGCATTTCTGCATCAAAAAGAAAATTTTGAAAAAAATGTCGCTTACGTTATTTTGGCGGTTAGGGCTCGATATGTTCTGCGTAGCAGATAACAAAGCTCCCCAAAAGGGCGAAACAAGTGTCTTTCGATCCTTTTTTTGTATGCCAATTATTTATGTGAATTGATCAAAACTTTATTAGCATTTTTCTACACAAATAAAATGTTCGGTTAATTCTTGATAATTTAACGTGCGATATAATCTCCAAGTTTAAATTTAGCTTTTTCTTCATTCCGATCATGCATGCCCTTAGAATGCCGTCCGTAAGCTCAGGACTCAGAAATGCAACACTGTTTACAATATCGCAAAAATATCTATCAATTAAAAAAGTAACAAAGTATGAATAAATCAATTAATACAAATCAAATCTTCTATTTTTCTTTTTCCTTTTCTCCTCTCGCGCAAACTACACTGCCATGCATACTCTGTAAATCGAAATATGTATACAAATAAAATTTGCTTCTCCACTTTTTGTCTACTACCAAATTTCGACACACGAACGAACGAAATTATTGACTGAACGTTCTGTCCTACCCGAAACAAAAATACCCCTTACCGCCTTCCCCCTCGCGCAGAATGGGTTTCATGCACTTACGCAAAGCGGAAACACAACAACAACAACAGTTGTCTAATAGCAATAACAACAACAGCGCTGTTGGAAATGTAGCAACAAGCAATGCCTCAACGGCCACGACGAGCAGCGGCTATACATTGCCGCATCACCATCATCATCATCATCACGATGTGACCGCGCCCACGCTAAGTAGCCTCAATAAACAAACGAAGACCTACAACAACACGTTGATAAGTTCGACGTCAAATGTGGCGGCAATCGGCATAAATGAGAGTAAAATTCCGGTGGTGCGCGCAAGTGCAGCGCTAATGGATGTGGGAGTCAGCGGTGCAGCCGCGACCGCGACGGCAGCAACGTCAAGCAGTGGGGCTGCCGGCGGAAGTATTGGTTCATCTGCTACCATACCGCCTACGCGTAGTGGCGCATCACGCGCGCCACACCACCATATGACGTTGCGCGGCCGCTCGCGTATACGCTATCATCGCGCAGGTGCAGGTACAACGGCAGTGGCGGAATCGCCGCCATGTACGACTGTGACCGCGCGCTATTATCGCGACGTGTCAGCTATACCATCGGCGGGTGCGTCGCCATTAGACGCCGGCGGTGGTGGCGGCGGCGGCGGCGGCGGCGGCGGCGGCGGCGGTGGTCGTTCTGCTTCGGCAACGCTTGATTTCAATTCGAATCCTCTGCATGATGCCGCTGCCGCCAGCACTTCTGCTGCTTATACGCATAGTAAAGTGTCACAGTCGACATCGCTGCCTAAATCTCACATGTATTATCAGCGTCATCAACACTATCAGCAGCCTAGTGGCAGTGTTGCTAAAAATAGCAACAATAACAATAACAACAACAATGATATGAATGTACAACTAAATGAAAATTTACGTTCCACACCGCCTTTAGATACAAACCGGCTGATTAGCAACAACAATTACGGGCGCGGTAGTTTCGATGCGGGCATCAGTGCAACAACCACAGCGTCGACGCGCGCCTCACCCACTGGCATTCCAACGGGCATCACAAAACGCAACAAACGTTCGCTGAGTAGCACGCGCCTCGAGAAGGACAAATGCGATGAATACAATACGAAATTGCTGCGCAAAGCAGCGGGCAACAACAATGCAGCGCAGAGTAATAGCAACGCGTGCGCTAGTGGGAGCGGCAACGATAGTGGCAACGTAGATGACCGCAACAATGCGAATAGCAACGAAAGAAATCAGCTCTGTTCAGTTGGCACGAGAAGAGGTGGCGCAGGTGGCGACTCAAGCGGTGTTGCTCTCAGAGCACCAGGCACTGCCGGCGGTGGGGCTGGCTATCGAACGCGGCATCACGTGCCATGCGCGGCAGCGGCCGCCAATAACGCCACCACCTTACTCGAATCATCTACAGCCTCCTCGGCCTCGTCAGCTTCCACTTCGGGTATTCCAACGCCGACGGCGTCCACCACAGCGCATGGTTTGTACTTGCAGCGCGGCAGTGGCGCGCGCTATGCTGCAGCAGCAGCGGTAATGGCGGTCGAGCGTGAGCGTGAGACGACATTGAAATTGCGCAAGAAAATCAGTTACTGAGTGCGGCGCAAGTGATTTTAGTTTTTATGTGGTTACACTTTAGTAGAAAAAATATGCTAATTTACGAGTATATTAAAAAGTTCTATAAATTTTTACAAAAACCTAATTTATGTTAGTATTAACTATAAATTTAGTATGTACATATTATTTGTATAGCCCATATTATTGAATTTTTGAAACCCAGTGCATGTTGCAATATCGAATTTTTTTATTAGCATATCCAATGTTGAATAATCTTATGAAAACTCATGTTATACATATTTGAAAACATATGTACGTTCAAAAAATATATTTAAAAAATTTTAAATTTCAACTTCCTTATTTTTCAAAATTATTTAGCGTGAGATCTCTGTAACTCACAGTGATTTATGTGAGTTAACGGTAGATGCCAAAAGTAGCGTGTAGCAGATTTACACACTCATCGCATTTTTTTCTCTCACACTTGCTCTACCTCTCTCACCACATGCGGGTGCTGCACTAGCCAACTGGCACACCCATTAAGCGCCCTATACACACATTGATTTATAGTTCAATCAGACGATGATTAAACAATCATCAGATGTGCTTTAATCAACTTTTGCTAAGTGGTTCAACCAGCTGAAGATTATTCAAAAAAATTTATTTTATTGTTAGGGGTTCAGACACCAACACTTCAGTAGTAAATATTAAGAATGTTCGTTTAAAAAGCCGTAGTAGCTTAAGCGCTCAAAGAGAGACATATTCCAATTTTTGCACGAAAAGGAATTTGCTCAAATTCGCCAGTCAGCTGCTGGATACGGCTGCATTTCAAAGATAATAAATTTTTGTGAAATTTTTTTAATTATGTCAATGGAAATAACTTGCATAATCTTGTAAAAGTTATTTGTCGCACGAGCATTTTTATTGTGAAATAGTTGTTTAACTGCTTGAAGGATAAATCAATCGGTGTATAGGGCGCTTTAGTTGATAGTATTGTTCTTTTGAAGATTATCAAGAGAAATAAATGCCCTTAAGTAAAGAGTAATGAGAATATTTTTTAGTGCAATTTCAAAATTCGCAATAATGTTCTTTACTTAAAGTTTGATTACAAAAAAAAAAAAAACGCATGGTAAGTCCATTTTTTTATGCGTTGATTATTGTGATTTTTTTTTTATTTCAAGCGCTTTGAAAGTCTGAAAATAGCGCTGATCCCTTGCTTAAGGTATCCGCAGGATTATTGCTCCAAACAGGCATTCAAATAAAGTAACAAGAATTTGCAATTTTTTCACTAAATGCATTTTTAAATGTTTAATTTATTTATTTCCTTAGTGAGTTACCTTTTATAAGTATTTGATTAAGGCTTTCTCTTCTAAATATTTTTTATTGCTGTATTTTTACATTAAAAAATAATGATGTCTTCGTAAACAATATTTTAAATATTTCGCAATATTGAATCAAAAAGTCAGCACCGAAGTTTTGCTTTAAGTAATATGAAACTTTGTATTAAAGTGTTAAATCGTTTTTTTTTCTTAGAAAAAAATTATATTTCGCGCAGATGATTCCCCTATACCCTTGTATTATGCAGAGTTTCCACAAGACATTAAATGACTAAAAACTAATTGTGGTAGTAGACTTCACAGAGGCTATTGCTCAATCGTCCTACTTTATTAAAAAATTTGCTAAATGTTGTATTTTTTTAAGAAATGGCTTTAAATTTTATTCAATTAAATAACAGTGAAAATAGTTGCAACGAACTTTATCACTCACTCTTTAATTCACAACTTTGCCATTCAAATGTTTGTCATTTATTGCCTGGTGGAAATCCGTCATAAATGAAAACTTGTAACTCGATAAATATTTTTAGAAAATTTTTTTAAAGTGCACAGTTACTAGACTATTGACGTTTTCGTGGGTTATACTTTTTTTTGCTAAAGATGTAAAAATTTGCATACATTTGTTGTTGTTTTGCTTCTCTTTTTTTTAATACAGCCTTGAAGAATATGAAAAAACCAATTAAATATTTAGGCATATCTGTGAATATATTGGGCGGCGGCATCTTTGTGTAGACAACCAGGCCATGAAATATATATACATATGTAATTGTCGGCCGCTGTGGTGTAGTGGTAAGCAGTGCGCGCTTTCACTCATCAGCACCTGGGTTCAAACCCTGGTCAAAGCAACATCGCAAAAAATATAGAAAAAAGGTTTTTTCTTAACAGCGGTCGTCCCTCGGCAGGCAATGGCAAACCTCCGAGTGTATTTCTGCCATGAAAAACAGCTTCTCATAAAAATACAATCGCCGTTCGGAGTCGGCGTAAAACTGTAGGTCCCTCCGCTTTGTGTGACAACATCAAGGCGCACACCACAAATCGGAGGAGAAGCTCGGCCAAACACTAACATATGTGTAAGCGCCAATCTATTATTATTATTATTATTAATTTTCGATATATAAATTGCTTACAACAATATATTGAGGTTCATTTGTGAAACAAAAACTCTGAGCACTTACTATAAACTTTATACTTACAAAATGTACATATTTATACCTTTATATGTAACTAAATGCATTCTACAAATAAAAACTAATGAAGTACATATCACTCGTTTGCTGAAAGAATGTTATAACTAGGAAACAAAAAAGAAATATTGATATTATGTAAACAAAAACTTCGTAATACTATGTGTCAATTGTATCTTACAAGAAGAGAATTTTCCTTTCTATTGCTAAATTCTTTCCACTTTTCACTAGGGCGATAGAACTGGGTTTTTTAAACCAGTTTTTAACCTCTATAATTACCGAACCCAGCTCAAACTCGTAGGGAATAAAGTTGGTGTCAACACCTTTTCTTGGTTTTCTTGATAACCAAATTTTTGTTTAAAGGGCAGATAAATTTTAAAAGCTACTTGAGAAAACGGTCCTTAGTGATTAGAGATTATTATCAAGATTTTTATAAATGTAAGAAAAAACAGGTTATCCCAAATGCTTGAATATTGATTAAACGTAATTTGATGCTTGTTTTCTTTATTCTTATACCGGATTCACACGAGGCTATGAGACGACAACAATTTAAAAAATAATAATTATAATGTAATCAGGGACGTTAACCGGCTTTGAACCGCTTAACCGAAATGAAATTTTCCACAAATGCTTGATGCGAGGCGAAAACCGAATCACTTTTTACAAGTTTTATGAAGACAAAATTTTCCCCAATTTTTTTATGTATTTATTTTTAATTTTTTTTATTAAATATACTAATATATAAATAAAAATAATACACAGTTTTTACTTTCAATTCCCAACCATTAATTCAGACACAAAAAAAAACGTTTTGACAAATCAATCTAAAGCTCTGAACACATCGAAAACGACATCACCACACGACACGACATTAAGGTTTTATCTACATAATCTAAACGCCTTGTCGACGGCGACATGGCTTTTTTGAACGCGCCAGCGACACATGAATTTTTTTGAGTTTGACATAAAAGAAGAAGAACCGTAGCTGTCGCTAGAAAAATAGAAATAGATCCAATCTGGCCACAGCTACATTTTTGGCTAGTCGCAGAGTTGCCGTGTCGTCGCCAAATTAATTATCTACATAAGAGTACGTGTTAAAATAATTTGACAGATGTGGTCCGTAGCCCGTCGTTTCCAATGTGTTTCAAGCTTAAACGGCTCGACCCGCTGCACCGAACCGACCAAATTTTTCATCCGGTTCACGATTCTGATTATGATTATATTGACACAGCTATAATTTACTGCCCGACTCTGTCATTCAAATATTTCTCACATCAATACGCAGTGAAAATCCGACACTATGGCAAATTTTAATTTCTTTAACTTTCTTTTAAGTGTTATCACCGCATAAATAAATAAAATACTTTAGGTCTAAACGTTTTTTTACTATAAAAATTGGGTATTGGAGTTTTTTTATTTACTTAAAAAAAAAAGGAAACCCAAAACCGGTTTTATAAAATCGATCGCCCTATTAGCAACCATTATTATAAATAAAACACACTTTCATCAAAACACGGTAGAACATTAAAGTATCCTTTGGATTAAATTCGACGTTATTTAATTCTTAAATACTAATGCCGGATTTCCACTGGTTATTAAATGACAAAAATTCAAGCCACTAGGTTTGGCATTAAAAAATAATCGTCTGTCTTTACACTGCCGAATGAAACAGTCGAGGCATTTTTAAATTGCTCAAATATTTATGCACTTTAATAGTCGTACATAGTGAAAATTCGGTATTGACATTCTCTTAATTGTTATTCAAAACTTAGTAACTGACCAAAAAACTTTAAAGCTGTTTTTCCCCGATTTATATTTTATTTTTTAGTGTTCGACGTTCCTTCAGCAAACAAGCCGTATGTGCAGTTGTAGAATGTTTGTAAAATTTAAAATTTAGACTTATGAAGTACGTATAAATATTTAACTGAAAGTACCTTAAAGTCTAGAGGATACCTTAAAAACACAAAAAGGAATACAATACGTAGTATTACTGATCTACTAAAAAAATACAAAAACAAAAAACCGTTAAGAATATTAATTAAGAGTAAAGGTATGTAGGACACAAACTATGGCATCATTCTCCATATCTACCGAAAAACTAAATAAGAAATAAAAAATAAAAAATCGGTACTGTTTCTCGACCGGAAATATAAAACTTATTTTATTTTAAGATTTCTGCCAAAATATTTCGTAACATTAAAAAGATTTACGCGAGCTGAATGGATTTGAAAACAAATAAATACCTCCAAAACTTATGTTTTCTGAAAAATCACTATAAGTATAAAACAAATTTTTAAAATTGTATCATGTTAATAAAAATTATGCAATTGCTTTCTCTTAAAATGTCAGACCCTTTACTCGATTCATACAAAAAAATTTAAGTGAAAGTTTTGAAATTTTAAGAAACATCAATTGCTTAGTTTTTGCTCATACGGCCCAAAAAGATTTTAGCAGGTATTTTCAAAGAGGTCTAACTCAGGTAAATCATAATATATTTTTTCCGAAATATTTGGCGGAAGTCTTAAAAAAAAATGCATTTTATAATTTTGGCGAAAAAACGCAACTTCTTTTTTGGTGATGTACCCTAATGTACATATACATATAAT